CCATTTGGGAACTCGGGAGCTGCCCCAGGGCCCAGGGTCAGTAGGGGGCCCCATGAGGTGCCCCTGTTACCTTTCATAGGCTTTTTTTGCGTGTGGTTTGAGTGTGGGCAAGGACAAAGGGGACCCATGATCCCCTATTGCCCGGGGGGCCCCACAAATTGTCAGTCCGCTACTGCCGTCATGCATTCCATGCTAGTCAAAGAAGCCCAACAGGACTACAGCAGCAAAAATAAAAAAAGGAAGAAAATATCCTGTTTTTATTGTATAAACTGAAAAGGCTGTTAAATAAAGAATTTGCAAAAAAAAAAAAAAAAAAAAAAAAAAAAAAAAAAGAACATACACAAAAAAATAAAAATAATTTCTCTACCCCATTAAAAAAAAAACATAAAAAAATGACTTTAAATAGAATTTTAACTTTATCAAACCTTACTTTAAGAAATCACTTATTAGTAAAATATTTATTTAATATATAGAAACACTTATTAGGAAAAGAATATACACAGAAAAGAAAAAGAATTTCTCTACCCCATTAAAACCAAAACCAAAAAAAAATGGCTTTAGATAAAATTTTATCTTTTTTCAAACCTTGCTTTAAGAAATCGCTTATTAGTAAACTATTTATTTAACATATATAAACATTTATTAGGAAATTATTTATTAGTAAACGGAACATCTAGTGCTCGTCCTATTCAGATGGTCTATAGATCTTTAATAAATGTTTTATTTCTCTCAACATTGCACAAATAATGTATTATTTTATTCCATTTCTTTTTTTTTTTTTTTTTTTAGCGTGGTGTGAAAGACGGTCTATAGATCTTTAATAAATGTTTTTATTTCTCTCAACACTGCACAACAAATTTATTATTTTATTTCGTTTCTTTTTTTTTTTTTCTAGCATTGTGTGAAAGACGGTCTATAGATCTTTTATAAATGTTTTTATTTCTCTAAACATTGCACAAATAATGTATTATTTTATTCCGTTTCTTTTTTTTTTTTTTCTAGCATGGTGTGAAAGACGGTCTATAGATCTTTGTTAAATGTTTTATTTCTCTCAACATTGCACAACAAATTTATTATTTTATTCTGTTTTCTTCTTTTTTTTTTTTTAGCATGGTGTGAAAGACGGTCTATAGATCTTTAATAAATGTTTTAATTCTCTAAACATTGCACAACAAATTTATTATTTTATTCTGTTTTCTTCTTCGTTTTTCACACCGTGCTAGAAAAAAAAAAGAAGAAAACAGAATAAAATAATAAATTATTTGTGCAATGTTGAGAGAAATAAAAACATTTATTAAAGATCTATAGACCGTCTTTCACACCATGCTAGAAAAAAAGTCTATAGATCTTTAATAAATGTTTTTATTTCTCTCAACACTGCATAACAAATTTATTATTTTATTCCATTTTCTTTTTTTTTTTTCTTGCATGGTGTGAAAGACGGTCTATAGATCTTTGATAAATGTTTTTATTTCTCTCAACATTGCACAACAAATTTATTATTTTATTCTGTTTTCTTCTTTTTTTTTTTCTAGCATGGTGTGAAAGACGGTCTATAGATCTTTAATAAATGTTTTAATTCTCTAAACATTGCACAACAAAATTTATTATTTTATTCTGTTTTCTTCTTCGTTTTTCACACCATGCTAGAAAAAAAAAGAAGAAAACAGAATAAAATAATAAATTTGTTGTGCAATGTTGAGAGAAATAAAAACATTTATAAAAGATCTATAGACCGTATTTCACACCATGCTAGAAAAAAAAAATGGAATAAAATAATAAATTATTTGTGCAATGTTTAGAGAAATAAAAACATTTATTAAAGATCTATAGACCGTCTTTCACACCATGCTAGAAAAAAAAAAAAAAGAAACCGAATAAAATAATACATTTGTTGTGCAATGTTGAGAGAAATAAAAACATTTATCAAAGATCTATAGACCGTCTTTCACACCATGCAAGAAAAAAAAAAAAAAAAAATGGAATAAAATAATAAATTTGTTATGCAGTGTTGAGAGAAATAAAAACAATTATTAAAGATCTATAGACTGTCTTTCACACCAAGCTAGAAAAAAAAAAAAAAGAAACAGCATAAAATAATAAATTATTTGTGCAATGTTTAGAGAAATAAAAACATTTATCAAAGATCTATAGACCGTCTTTCACACCATGCTAGAAAAAAAGTCTATAGATCTTTGATAAATGTTTTTATTTCTCTCTCAACATTGCACAACAAATTTATTATTTTATTCCGTTTCTTTTTTTTTTTTTTTCTAGCATGGTGTGAAAGACAGTCTATAGATCTTTAATAAATGTTTTTATTTCTCTCAACACTGCATAACAAATTTATTATTTTATTCCATTTTCTTTTTTTTTTTTTTCTTGCATGGTGTGAAAGACGGTCTATAGATCTTTGATAAATGTTTTTATTTCTCTCAACATTGCACAACAAATGTATTATTTTATTCGGTTTCTTTTTTTTTTTTTCTAGCATGGTGTGAAAGACAGTCTATAGATCTTTAATAAATGTTTTTATTTCTCTAAACATTGCACAAATAATTTATTATTTTATTCCATTTTTTTTTCTAGCATGGTGTGAAATACGGTCTATAGATCTTTTATAAATGTTTTTATTTCTCTCAACATTGCACAACAAATTTATTATTTTATTCTGTTTTCTTCTTTTTTTTTTTCTAGCATGGTGTGAAAGACGGTCTATAGATCTTTAATAAATGTTTTAATTCTCTAAACATTGCACAACAAATTTATTATTTTATTCTGTTTTCTTCTTCGTTTTTCACACCATGCTAGAAAAAAAAAGAAGAAAACAGAATAAAATAATAAATTATTTGTGCAATGTTGAGAGAAATAAAAACATTTATTAAAGATCTATAGACCGTCTTTCACACCATGCTAGAAAAAAAGTCTATAGATCTTTAATAAATGTTTTTATTTCTCTCAACACTGCATAACAAATTTATTATTTTATTCCATTTTCTTTTTTTTTTTTCTTGCATGGTGTGAAAGACGGTCTATAGATCTTTAATAAATGTTTTTATTTCTCTCAACATTGCACAACAAATTTATTATTTTTATTCCGTTTCTTTTTTTTTTTTCTAGCATGGTGTGAAAGACAGTCTATAGATCTTTAATAAATGTTTTTATTTCTCTAAACATTGCACAAATAATGTATTATTTTATTCCGTTTCTTTTTTTTTTTTTCTAGCATGGTGTGAAAGACGGTCTATAGATCTTTGTTAAATGTTTTATTTCTCTCAACATTGCACAACAAATTTATTATTTTATTCTGTTTTCTTCTTTTTTTTTTTTTTAGCATGGTGTGAAAGACGGTCTATAGATCTTTAATAAATGTTTTAATTCTCTAAACATTGCACAACAAATTTATTATTTTATTCTGTTTTTCTTCTTCGTTTTTCACACCGTGCTAGAAAAAAAAAAAAGAAAAATGGAATAAAATAATAAATTTGTTATGCAATGTTGAGAGAATTAAAAACATTTATTAAAGATCTATAGACCGTCTTTCACACCATGCTAGAAAAAAAGTCTATAGATCTTTAATAAATGTTTTTATTTCTCTCAACATTGCACAACAAATTTATTATTTTATTCCGTTTCTTTTTTTTTTTCTAGCATGGTGTGAAAGACGGTCTATAGATCTTTAATAAATGTTTTTATTTCTCTCAACATTGCACAACAAATTTATTATTTTATTATGTTTTTCTTCTTTTTTTTTCTAGCATGGTGTGAAATACGGTCTATAGATCTTTAATAAATGTTTTTATTTCTCTCAACATTGCACAACAAATTTATTATTTTTATTATGTTTTCTTCTTTTTTTTTCTAGCATGGTGTGAAATACGGTCTATAGATCTTTAATAAATGTTTTTTATTTCTCTAAACATTGCACAAATAATTTATCATTTTATTCCGTTTCTTTTTTTTTCTAGCACGGTGTGAAAAGAAAAACACAATAATTTCCCATTTCCTGCAAAAGATTAAAAAAGATTAAAAAACAATCCATCTTCGTATTTCTATATTTTTTTTTAATGAGAATTCACGGATTTGAAATGCAGAGAATAAAAGACTAAAAAGGACACGCCTTGATTGGAGCAAACCGACTGAACTCAATGCTGCTTTACCTTGTTTCAGAAAATAAAAATCTTGCTAATATGGCAATAAATGAATAAACATACTGACTGTGAAAAAATGTTGCAAATGTTTGAAACCAAAGACACAACTGTAAAAAATTATTTTTTTTTGTTTGTTTTATTATTTTACTCCACTTAAAAATTGTTATAATCCAAATTCTTTATATTTTGAGATATACTTATCAAAATCTACTAATATCATCTCACAATATCTATAAAAGATTTAATTTTTTTTGCCAAAACAGAGAATGTTTTTTATTTTTATTTTTTTTTTAACTGATATTTTTTTTTTTTTTAAACCGATACTTTTTAAAAATTTTGCATAACAGTATATAAAATAATACAAAGCCCAAACAAGTCTGGTTGGTATGTAGAGCAAAAGACATATGAAAGGGATACAGCACATATACAGCGGCGTAGACAACAGAGGGCGTGGATATTTCTCTGCTACAATAGTTCATGGAGATGTTTTTAATATTTTGTTCGAATTTTATCTTTAAGTCAACTTTACGTTAATCTTGCTATCTTGCTTCTACGTTTCTACAGTCTACAAACTTACTATATACAGTTTGTTCATTTTAAACACAATAAAATTCATTTTATCAAAAACATTGCCTTTTTAAATTATATTTATTTATGTATTTTTTTATTCATACTGCAAGAAAGCTATCACAAAAAAAAAAAAAATTATATTTGCAAAACTAATTTTTCAGTGAGTCAATGTAAAGGAAATTCTTCCCACTGACCACCAATGTAAGGGACATTCTTCCCACCGACCCCCAATGTAAGGGACATTCTTCCCACTGATCACCAATGTAAGGGACATTCTTCCCACTGATCACCAATGTAAGGGACATTCTTCCCACTGACCCCCAATGTAAGGGACATTCTTCCCACTGACCACCAATGTAAGGGACATTCTTCTCACTGACCACCAATGTAAGGGACATTCTTCCCACTGATCACCAATGTAAGGGACATTCTTCTCACACTGATCACCCCCAATGTAAGGGACATTCTTCCTACTGACCCCCAATGTAAGGGACATTCTTCCCACTGACCCCCAATGTAAGGGACATTCTTCCCACTGATCACCAATGTAAGGGACATTCTTCCCACTGACCCCCAATGTAAGGGACATTCTTCCCACTGACCCCCAATGTAAGGGACATTCTTCCCACTGACCCCCAATGTAAGGGACATTCTTCCCACTGACCACCAATGTAAGGGACATTCTTCTCACTGACCCCCAATGTAAGGGACATTCTTCCTCCTGACCCCCAATGTAAGGGACATTCTTCCCACTGACCCCCAATGTAAGGGGTATTCTTCCCACTGATCACCAATGTAAGGGACATTCTTCCCACTGACCCCCAATGTAAGGGACATTCTTCCCACTGACCACCAATGTAAGGGACATTCTTCTCACTGACCCCCAATGTAAGGGACATTCTTCCTACTGACCCCCAATGTAAGGGACATTCTTCCCACTGACCCCCAATGTAAGGGGTATTCTTCCCACTGATCACCAATGTAAGGGACATTCTTCCCACTGTTCCCCAATGTAAGGGACATTCTTCCCACTGACCACCAATGTAAGGGACATTCTTCCTACTGACCCCCAATGTAAGGGACATTCTTCCCACTGATCACCAATGTAAGGGACATTCTTTCCCACTGACCACCAATGTAAGGGACATTCTTCCCACTGACCCCCAATGTAAGGGACATTCTCCCCACTTACCACCAATGTAAGGGACATTCTTCCCACTGACCCCCAATGTAAGGGACATTCTCCCCCACTTACCACCAATGTAAGGGACATTCTTCCCACTGACCACCAATGTAAGGGACATTCTTCCCACTGACCCCCAATGTAAGGGACATTCTTCCCACTGACCCCCAATGTAAGGGACATTCTTCCCACTGACCCCCAATGTAAGGGACATTCTTCCCACTGACCCCCAATGTAAGGGACATTCTTCCCACTGACCACCAATGTAAGGGACATTCTTCCCACTGACCCCCAATGTAAGGGACATTCTTCCCACTGACCACCAATGTAAGGGACATTCTTCCCACTGACCACCAATTTAAGGGACATTCTTCCCACTGACCACCAATTTAAGGGACATTCTTCCCACTGACCCCCAATGTGAGGGGCATTCTTCCCACTGACCCCCAATGTAAGGGACATTCTTTCCACTGACCACCAATGTAAGGGACATTCTTCCCACTGACCCCCAATGTAAGGGACATTCTTCCCACTGACCCCCAATGTAAGGGACATTCTTCCCACTGACCACCAATGTAAGGGACATTCTTCCCACTGGACCACCAATTTAAGGGACATTCTTCCCACTGACCCCCAATGTAAGGGACATTCTTCCCACTGACCCCCAATGTAAGGGACATTCTTCCCACTGACCCCCAGTGTAGGGAACATTCTTCCCACTGACCCCCAATGTAAGGAGCATTCTTCCAACTGACCCCCAATGTAAGGGACATTCTTCCCACTGACCACCAATGTAAGGGACATTCTTCCCACTGACCACCAATTTAAGGGACATTCTTCCCACTGACCCCCAGTGTAGGGAACATTCTTCCCACTGACCCCCAATGTAAGGAGCATTCTTCCAACTGACCCCCAATGTAAGGGACATTCTTCCCACTGACCACCAATGTAAGGGACATTCTTCCCACTGACCACCAATTTAAGGGACATTCTTCCCACTGACCACTGATAAATTGGTTTAAAGGGGTGCCCCGAGACCTGAAAAAAGGGTTCCTCTGTGGTAAAGAAGGTTGAGAGAGGCGGGTGCAGAGCGTTCTTTGTGATTCGTTTTACATTCCAGCATGCAGATACATAAGCTGAACCAACAGAGGTCGTCTGAATCTCGTGCACTTGAAATTGGAACATCATATATCAATGAAGTTGGCTCATGTCTTCATTGTGGTCCTCCCACCGCCACTGGTCATCACGGTACAGTTAACCGCTGATGAAAAATCCAACTGCCTTTTATAACAAATTGATTTTTTGTGGGACAATTCAAAAGATTCATCAAAGCAAAAAAAAAGCAAATTCTGCAGAACGCTGCGAAAGGCAACCAACTGTACAATTCAATCTACCGGGATCCCACCGATTATAGGAAGTCCCGCGGTGGTCATCACGTTTTCGATTTTCGTTTAGGATAGTGGGAAATTTACCTTCAAATGGAGAGTTTTCCAGGAATTTGGCCCCATTGGAAAATTATGTTTTTGGGCTGCTGTCCACTTTTTTCTAAAAAATTTTTTTAAAAAAGTTTTTTTTTATAGCATTCTCTGCAATAGGGTAAAAAAAAAACCTTATGCATGCACCCCCCCCCCCCCTCCCCAAAATATACTTACCTGGGACCAATCTAGATCCAGCAATGTGCACAAGAGCAGCAGCTGTCCTGGCTCTCTCCCTCCTCACTGGCTCAGAGACAGCAGCGAGAGCCATTGGTCCTCACTGCTATCAATCACAAAGGCATTGCACAGAGCAGCCCCGATCTTCCTCTTTTCAGGTCCCCTGCCACTCCTCCTGGCTCCCTACCCCCTGCTGAGTGAACCCAGCTTGCTACGGAGGTACTGGTATGGGCTCTCTCCCTCCTCACTGGCTCAGAGACATCAGTGAGAGCCATTGGTCCTCACTGATATCAATCACAAAGGCATTGCACAGAGCAGCCCCGATCTTCCTCTTCTTAGGTCCCCTGCCATTCCTCCTGGCTCCTTACCCCCTGCTGAGTGCACCCAGCTTGCTACGGAGGTACTGGTATGGGCTCTCTCTCCCCTCACTGGCTCAGAGACAGCAGCGAGAGCCATTGGTCCTCACTGATATCAATCACAAAGACATTGCACAGAGCAGCCCCGATCTTCCTCTTCTCGGGTCCCCTGTTATTCCTCCTGGCTCCTTACCCCCTGCTGAGTGCACCCAGCTTGCTATGGAGGTACTAGTATGGGCTCGCTCCTAAGCCCCCCTCAATGTGATTACTGAAAGACAGAGGGCAGGTTGGCCCCGCCTCCTGCTCCCTCTGTAATTGACAGCAGTGGGAGCCAATGGCTCCTGCTGCTTTCTCTGAGCCAATGGGGAGGGATAGAGAGGAGAAAGCCTCTGCTCTTGTGTACAACTCTGGATCAAGATCGGGAGAGGAGCTCTTGTGCACAGCTCTGGATCAAGATTGGGAGAGGAGCTCTTGTGCACAGCGCTGGATCAAGATCAGGAGAGGAGCTCTTGTGCACAGCGCTGGATCAAGATCAGGAGAGGAGCTCTTGTGCACAGCACTGGATCAAGAATAGGAGGGGAGCTCTTGTGCACAGCGCTGGAACAAGATCGGGAGAGGAGCACTTGTGCACAGTGTTGGATCAAGATCGGGAGAGGAGCTCTTGTGCACAGCGCTGGATCAAGAATAGGAGGGGAGCTCTTGTACACAGCACTGGATCAAGATCAGGAGAGGAGCTCTTGTACACAGCACTGGATCAAGATCGGGAGAGGAGCTCTTGTGCACAGCGCTGGATCAAGAATAGCAGGGGAGCTCTTGTGCATAGCGCTGGAACAAGATCGGGAGAGGAGCTCTTGTACACAGCACTGGATCAAGATCAGGAGAGGAGCTCTTGTACTCAGCACTGGATCAAGATCGGGAGAGGAGCTCTTGTGCACAGCGCTGGATCAAGAATAGCAGGGGAGCTCTTGTGCATAGTGCTGGAACAAGATCGGGAGAGGAGCTCTTGTACACAGCGCTGGATCAAGATCGGGAGAGGAGCTCTTCTGCACAGTGCTGGATCAAGATCAGGAGAGGAGCTCTTGTGCACAGCGCTGGATCAAGAATAGGAGGGGAGCTCTTATGCACAGCGCTGGATCAAGATCGGGAGAGGAGATCTTGTACACAGCACTGGATCAAGATCAGGAGAGGAGCTCTTGTGCACAGCCCTGGATCAAGAATAGGAGGGGAGCTCTTGTGCACAGCGCTGGAACAAGATCGGGAGAGGAGCTCTTGTGCACAGCGCTGGATCAAGATCGGGAGAGGAGCTCTTGTGCACAGTGCTGGATCAAGATCGGGAGAGGAGCTCTTGTGCACAGCGCTGGATCAAGATCAGGAGAGGAGCTCTTGTGCACAGCCCTGGATCAAGATCGGGAGAGGAGCTCTTGTGCACAGCCCTGGATCAAGATCGGGAGAGGAGCTCTTGTGCACAGCCCTGGATCAAGATCGGGAGAGGAGCTCTTGTGCACAGCGCTGGATCAAGATCGGGCTCAGGTAAGTGTGGCCTTCAGCCTTTAGGACCACTTCAAAGGCAAGTAATATAAACTAATAAAAAATAATCTTCATTTCACTTCTGATAATTATGACTGGAAATCCTCCTGTAAGAGCGAAATGTTCCCAGGGATTCTAATTAGATTTTCTGACAATTACTGAGCTTCAAGCTCTGATGACGGCGAGGTCAGAAAACAATTAACAATAGCCCCATGCATCATACAGATTGCCACAATTAATGAATCTGTTAATGAAGATCAGAAAGAGAGGATACATTGTAACAATGGAGGTGTATATATGTATGTTCCAGCATTACCAATGTTATTGTCAAGTCCATTCCTATTGGTTGGAGAATCCTCCAATGTCTTCTTATATAAAATGGGAGCAGACTCTCTCTTTGATCCCATTTTATATAAGGAGACATTGGAGGATTCTCCTCTCTCTGAGAGAGAAGAGAGAGAGAAGAGCGAGAGAGAGAAGAGGGAGAGAGAAGAGTGATAGAGAAGAGCGAGAGACAGAAGGAGAGAGAGAGAGAAGGAGAGAGGAGAGAGAGGGGAGATGTGAATGTTTACAAAGGTACAGAAGGCTGGTAAGTTATAAAAATTAACTTCACTGCACTTTCCAAATATTAAAAATGATGTGTAATATTCTATCTATTATCTATTATCTATCTATCTATCTATCTATCTATCTATCTATCTATCTATCTATCTATCTATCTATCTATTATCTATCTATCTATCTATCTATCTATCTATCTATCTATCTATCTATCTATCTATTATCTATCTATCTATCTATCTATCTATTATCTATCTATCTATCTATCTATCTATCTATCTATCTATCTATCTATCTATCTATCTATCTATCTATCTATCTATCTATCTATCTATCTATCTATCTATTATCTATCTATCTATCTATCTATCTATCTATCTATCTATCTATCTATCTATCTATCTATCTATCTATCTATCTATCTATCTATCTATCTATCTATCTATCTATCTATCTATCTATCTATCTATCTATCTATCTATCTATCTATCTATCTATCTATCTATCTATCTATCTATCTATCTATCTATCTATCTATCTATCTATCTATCTATCTATCTATCTATCTATCTATCTATCTATCTATCTATCTATCTATCTATCTATCTATCTATTATCTATCTATCTATCTATCTATCTATCTATCTATCTATCTATCTATTATCTATCTATCTATCTATCTATCTATCTATTATCTATCTATCTATCTATTATCTATCTATCTATCTATCTATCTATCTATCTATCTATTATCTATTATCTATCTATCTATCTATCTATCTATCTATCTATCTATTATCTATCTATCTATCTATCTATCTATCTATCTATCTATCTATCTATCTATCTATCTATCTATCTATCTATCTATCTATCTATCTATCTATTATCTATCTATCTATCTATCTATCTATCTATCTATCTATCTATCTATCTATCTATCTATCTATCTATCTATCTATCTATCTATCTATCTATCTATCTATTCTATCTATCTATCTATCTATCTATCTATCTATCTATCTATCTATCTATCTATCTATCTATCTATCTATCTATCTATCTATCTATCTATCTATCTATCTATCTATCTATCTATCTATCTATCTATCTATCTATCTATCTATCTATCTATCTATCTATCTATCTATCTATCTATCTCTATCTATCTATCTATCTATCTATCTATCTATCTATCTATCTATATCTATCTATTATCTATCTATCTATTATCTATCTATCTATCTATTATCTATCTATCTATCTATCTATCTATCTATTATCTATCTATCTATCTATCTATCTATCTATCTATCTATCTATCTATCTATCTATCTATCTATCTATCTATCTATCTATCTATCTATCTATTATCTATCTATCTATCTATCTATCTATCTATCTATCTATCTATCTATCTATCTATCTATCTATCTATCTATCTATCTATCTATCTATCTATCTATCTATCTATCTATCTATCTATCTATCTATCTATCTATCTATCTATCTATCTATCTATCTATCTATCTATCTATCTATCTATCTATCTATCTATCTATCTATCTATCTATCTATCTATCTATCTATCTATCTATCTATCTATCTATCTATCTATCTATCTATCTATCTATCTATCTATCTATCTATCTATCTATCTATCTATCTATCTATCTATCTATCTATCTATCTATCTATCTATCTATCTATCTATCATCTATCTATCTATCTATCTATCTATCTATCTATCTATCTATCTATCTATCTATCTATCTATCTATCTATCTATCTATCTATCTATCTATCTATCTATCTATCTATCTATCTATCTATCTATCTATCTATCTATCTATCTATCTATCTATCTATCATCTATCTATCTATCTATCTATCTATCTATCTATCTATCTATCTATCTATCTATCTATCTATCTATCTATCTATCTATCTATCTATCTATCTATCTATCTATCTATCTATCTATCTATCTATCTATCTATCTATCTATCTATCTATCTATCTATCTATTATCTATCTATCTATCTATCTATCTATCTATCTATCTATCTATCTATCTATCTATCTATCTATCTATCTATCTATCTATCTATCTATCTATCTATCTATCTATCTATCTATCTATCTATCTATCTATCTATCTATCTATCTATCTATCTATCTATCTATCTATCTATCTATCTATCTATCTATCTATCTATCTATCTATCTATCTATCTATCTATCTATCTATCTATCTATCTATCTATCTATCTATCTATCTATCTATCTATCTATCTATCTATCTATCTATCTATCTATCTATTTATTTATTCATCTATCTTTAATTATACATTATTATTCTTATCTATAGAACAACCATTAAACATGATTCCTGTTACAAAGTTTTGTACATTATGATTTGCATCTAAAAAATTGTTTTGGGTAAATTTGATAAAATGGTAAAACCAATTATATGTTTTCTAGGAGAATCTAGAGAATAAAGACTAGAGGTGATCAGGTTTTGGCGTGTATAATATCGTCATATACGGTCACTTTGTATAAATGTATAGGTTCGGATACAAAGGGATGACGGTTTCTTTCTGTGGGAATTCCCTGTCTTAATTAAGATTTTTTTTTTTAAACATTTCTTAATAGATTTTTTTTAACATCCCAAGTTTAGGATCTATGCCATTCTTTCTCAACCAGGGTGTCTGGGTGCCTTGAGGTTTCTTCAGGGGTACCTTGGCATAATGTCTAAAAATTGCCCAAAATGTGTACACAAGGCAGCGGGTGGAACAAGCCCTCTTTTTAGTTAAACAAAGTTTTCATAATGTATCCATAATTTTAAAGGGTGCCTCGGGACTATCCATAATTTTAAAGGATGACTGAAGACTGTCCATAATTTTAAAGGGTGCCTCAGGACTGTCCATAATTTTAAAGGATGTCTCGGGACTGTCCATAATTTTAAAGGATGTCTCGGGACTGTCCATAGTTTTAAAGGGTGCCTCAAGACTGTCCATAATTTTAAAGGGTGTCCCAGGATTGTCCATAATTTTAAAGGATGACTGAAGACTGTCCATAATTTTAAAGGATGTCTCGGGACTGTCCATAGTTTTAAAGGGTGCCTCAAGACTGTCCATAATTTTAAAGGGTGCCTCAGGATTGTCCATAATTTTAAAGGGTGCCTCAGGACTGTCCATAATTTTAAAGAGTGCCTCAGGACTGTCCATAATTTTAAAGGGTGCCTCAGGACTGTCCATAATTTTAAAGGGTGTCTCGGGACTGTCCATAATTTTAAAGGATGCCTCAAGACTGTCCATAGTTTTAAAGGGTGCCTCAAGACTGTCCATAATTTTAAAGGATGACTAAAGATTGTCCATAATTTTAAAGGGTGCCTCAGGATTGTCCATAATTTTAAAGGGTGCCTCGGCACTGTCCATAATTTTAAAGGGTGCCTCGGGACTATCCATAATTTTAAAGGATGACTGAAGACTGTCCATAATTTTAAAGGGTTCCTCAAGACTGTCCATAATTTTAAAGGGTGCCTCAGGACTGTCCATAATTTTAAAGGATGTCTCGGGACTGTCCATAATTTTAAAGGATGTCTCGGGACTGTCCATAGTTTTAAAGGGTGCCTCAAGACTGTCCATAATTTTAAAGGGTGCCTCAGGATTGTCCATAATTTTAAAGGATGACTGAAGACTGTCCATATTTTTAAAGGTTTCCTGAAGACTGTCCATAATTTTAAAGGGTGCCTCGGGACTGTCCATAATTTTAAAGGGTGCCTCAAGACTGTCCATAATTTTAAAGGATGACTGAAGACTGTCCATAATTTTAAAGGATGACTGAAGACTGCCCATAATTTTAAAGGGTGCCTCGGGACTGTCCATAATTTTAAGGGGTTCCTCAAGACTGTCCATAATTTTAAAGGGTGCCTCGGGACTGTCCATAATTTTAAAGGGTGCCTCGGGACTGTCCATAATTTTAAAAGGTACCTTGATTGAAACAAGGTTGAGAAACACTGATCTAGGGGATTGGGGTAGTTGAGTCTCAATGAAAGGACCCTCGTCTGGCATGTTTCCTTCACCAGATTTAGGAGCGGTTCTATTTGCCCCCCTCCTTCCTATGCTATGAGTTGAGCAAGTTATGATTTGCGAGTTGGGCGATGGTTTGGATATACAGTATATATACATTCAATTTTTTTTAATAAAAAAACAACTACCTTTGTAAGAAGTTGACCGAAAACAAAACAATTCGCAGAGTCATGTGACGTCTTTACATATAACAAAGTAACAAATTAGTTTCTTATTGTGGTAGGGTTAACCTGTGGCATTGGGGGGGGGGGGGGGGGGGGGGAGCTATGAGGTGGGATATTTGTTCATATGAATTTGTATTTCTTGTTTTATCTTGGATTTATGTGCAATAAAATTGGCATTTTGTGATAATTGATATATATGTTGATTGCTACCATGAAAATCCTGTAGAAACACGTCTTTGGTTTTGGCATTCTATATAAACACGGGATGTTGGCACGGTGATGTTCCCGTGTAATAATAGGCGTACATACTCGTGATGTTTGATTTGTAACAATTCGAAGGAAAGCCAATGTGTTTCGGGACTTCGGACATTCCCCCTTCACACATTGGTGAAAGAATGGGTCGCTCTCAGGAGCTCAGTGACTCCAAGCGTGGTCCCGTGATAGGTGGCCACCTGGGCAATAAGTCCATCCGTGACATTTCCTGGCTACTAAAGCGCTGTGATCAGGTGCATTGCTTTGGCCAATCAATTTTTATTTTCACACCTGCCTCTAGGGTCGGGCCTTTTGGCCAGGACCGGAGGAATTTCTTTATTTCTGGCCGAACGGCCCGCCATTGTACTACACTATGGCACTAATGCGCTTATACACTTCCCCTTTCCCCTTTTTTGTATGTTTTGTCACTTGCACAGTACGCACCTTCGCTTTCCTGACAGGGGTGGACTGACAATTCATGGGGCCCCGGGAAATGGGGATCATGGGGCCCCTGTGTCCTCGCCCACAGTCAAACCACACTCAAAAAAATCCTATGAAAGGTACCAGGGGCATCTCATGGGGCCCCCTACTAACCCGGGCCCTCGGGCAGTGCCCGAGTTCCCAAATGGTCAGTCCGCCCCTGTTCCCTGATTGGTAGGGTGTAGGTCCTTGGACCTGTCCTGAAGGTCTTGGGGTGGGGTCAGGGTCATGTGGCCTTTTGGTCAGTGTCTCCTCCTTTCATGGGGTCTCCCTTCAGGGGGAGAACCAATACCTATTCAGGGTGGTCTTGCTTCAGCAGGCCTCCTGAAGAAAGGGGTCCGTTTGGTTTCAGCCAGGTTGACCAGTGAGTGCCTCAGTCCCCGTTAGCAGCCTTGCAGGGGGATCAGGGCTAGGGCCCTTTCTCTTCTGAGGAGGGTTAAACGTACACCCTGTGCACTTTTTTTGTGTGCTCACTTTTTTTTTTTGCACTGGGAGCTAGTTTTGAAAGTGTGTTTACTACACCGTGGGACAAAGAAAAAAAAACTTGCTTTGGCCAATCACAATGCACTGTGCAGTGCATTGTGGGGCACGGCGGGCGGACAGCCCCACATGAACGGCCAATGTTCGAATTGAATTTACGTTCGACTTGAACACCAAGCCCATGACTAATCAACACCAAAGCAGGGTGCGTAGCCCTGTAATGGATATGATGACACCAAGGGAAAGTCCAACGCCGGAGGTGGGGGAGTGCCATCTGAACAGGTAAGTAAAACTATTTTTCCTCTCCCCTAGACAAAACAAGTCCCAGTGTGCAGTGTGAGTGCAGCCCTACGCCAAGGGACAATTTAACATTTTCCTGGAGTTGCTTCTAAAATGCCCCAAAATGGATCAGATGATTGTATGGACCTCATGGTATTCTTTAGTAAATCATCAAGAGTTAATGCCCTAGACACATGGTCAAGCAAGACCTTAGTTCAGGGGCGGACTGACTATTTGGAAACTCGGGCACTGCCCAAGGGCCTTGGGTCAGTAGGGGGCCCCATGAGATGCCCCTGGTACCTTTTTCATTGGTTTTTGAGTTTTGGCAAGGGCACAGGGGCCCCATGATCCCCTATTGCCCGGGGGGCCCCATGAGTTGTCAGTCCGCCCCTGCCTTAGTGGACCCCTCATCTCAGACTCTCAGGAGGCAAAACCTCGGCTCCGACAAAGGAAGAAAAGGTAGATACGGTCTCGCTATTAATAGTCGGTCACATTTAACTGGAGTGTCATAGACAGAACTCAATATTTATAGCTTCACGAGTTATGGCCAGGAGGGAAATCTTGGACTTTAGGATATTTTATGTATATTTTTTGTTTTTTGTTTTTTTATTGAAACCTTATATTTTCTTATTAGGGGGATTGTCAAAATGGAACCCAAATTATGGAGTTCTCTCCTTGCCTGCATGATGTGTATGAAGATCTGTAAGTGTTCGTGTTTATTGATTTCTGTCTTTAGTTAACCATACACTGCACAATCCGACTGCACAATCTCCTTAACATCCGCCAACATCTATGTATTGTATGGGCCTGCACAATTGGATACTAGGGTGCAGGGCTTTTTTTTTCCTCAGAGAATACCCACAGGGAAGAAAAATATATTTGAAATATATTTTAAAAAATATTCTTCCCAAATATATTGACAGATAATTTAAATGCTACAATGTTGGCCATTTGCTATATATATATATACAGTATATTTGAAATATATTTTTAAAAATATTTTACATATAGGTGCAATAAAAATGCATTTCAACATGAAGTGTTTATATACAGTCAGGTCCATAAATATTGGGACATCGACACAATTCTAACATTTTTGGCTCTATACACCACCACAATGGATTTGAAATGAAACAAACAAGATGTACTTTAACTGCAGACTGTCAGCTTTAATTTGAGGGTATTTACATGCAAATCAGGTGAACGGTGTAGGAATTACAACAATCTGCATATGTGCCTCCCACTTGTTAAGGAACCAAAAGTAATGGGACAGAATAATAATCATAAATCAAACTTTCACTTTTTAATACTTGGTTGCAACTCCTTTGCAGTCAATTACAGCCTGAAGTCTGGAACACATAGACATCACCAGACGCTGGGTTTCATCCCTGGTGATGCTCTGCCAGGCCTCTACTGCAACTGTCTTCAGTTCCTGCTTGTTCTTGGGGCATTTTCCCTTCAGTTTTGTCTTCAGCAAGTGAAATGCTCAATCGGATTCAGGTCAGGTGATTGGCCATTGCAGAACATTCCACTTCTTTCCCTTAAAAAACTCTTTGGTTGCTTTTGCAGTCTGCTTTGGGTCATTGTCCATCTGCACTGTGAAGCGTCCAATGAGTTGTGAAGCATTTGGCTGAATATGAGCCGATAATATTCCCGAAACACTTCAGAATTCATCCGGCTGCTTCTGTCAGCAGTCACATCATCAATAAATATATGAGAACCAGTTCCATTGGCAGCCATACATGCCCACGCCATGACACTACCACCACCATGAGGTGGTATGCTTAGGATCATGAGCATTCCTTTCCTTCTCCATACTCTTCTCTTCCCATCACTCTGGTACAAGTTGATGTCGGTCTCATCTGTCCATAGGATGTTGTTCCAGAACTGTGAAGGCTTTTTTACATGTCGTTTGGCAAACTCTAATCTGGCCTTCCTGTTTTTGAGGCTCACCAATGGTTTCCATCTTGTGGTGAACCCTCTGTATTCACTCTGGTGAAGTCTTCTCTTGATTGTTGACTTTGACACACATACACCTACCTCCTGGAGAATGTTCTTGATCTGGCCAACTGTTGTGAAGGGTATTTTCTTCACCATGGAAAGAATTCTTTGGTCATCCACCACAGTTGTTTTCCGTGGTCTTCCGGGTCTTTTGGTGTTGCAGAGCTCACCGGTGCGTTCCTTCTTTTTAAGAATGTTCCAAACAGTTGTTTTGGCCACGCCTAATGTTTTTTGCTATCTCTCTGATGGGTTTGTTTTGTTTTTTCAGCCTAATGATGGCTTGCTTCACTGATAGTGACAGCTCTTTGGATCTCATCTTGAGAGTTGACAGCAACAGATTCCAAATGCAAATAGCACACTTGAAATGAACTCTGGACCTTTTATCTGCTCATTGTAATTGGGATAATGAGGGAATAACACACACCTGGCCATGGAACAGCTGAGAAGCCATTGTCCCATTACTTTTTGTTCCTTAACAAGTGGGAGGCACATATGCACACTGTTGTAATTCCTACACCGTTCACCTGATTTGGATGTAAATACCCTCAAATTAAAGCTGACAGTCTGCAGTTAAAGCACATCTTGTTTGTTTCATTTCAAATCCATTGTGGTGGTGTATAGAGCCAAAAATGTTAGAATTGTGTCGATGTCCCAATATTTATGGACCTGACTGTATATATATATATATATATATATATATATATATATATACTGCATGTGTTTTTTATATTGCAAAATATATGAAAAATATTTTTAAAAATATATTTTTTTAATATATTCTTCAGATTTATTTTAACATATAAAAATTTCATTTTAACCTATATTTTTACATATATTTGT